TTCATCAAAACCTACAAAAGAATACACGTTTAGTATATTGCATTTAGAACGTGTTTCCAACACATTTTGGGTAAACAAACTTGGACCCGAGATTTGATGGTCCCGGAGGGTCTGTAGGAAAATAAAAGACTTAGGCGTATGCCCGGAATCGAATTCCGAGGTCCCAAGCGCGAGAAATGAATTTTTAAAGGAACTTGTTTTCTGAAATTGTTTCAGGTATTTTGAAATGAAGTTTGATTAGAACATGATGGTATCGGGCTCGTATTTTGGTTCCGACTCCTGGTACAGGCCTTATATATGATTTAAGATGATCTTGTGAAATTTGGTGAAAAATGGACGTCGTTTGACGTGATTCGGACCTAAATTCCTAAAGATGTTTTATGAAGTTTGATAAAAATCCTTTGATTTTGAGGTTTAAATCGTTGTTATTGAGGTTATTTTGGCGATTTGATCGCACGGATAAGTCCGTATGATGTTGTTAAGTTAGTACGTATGTTTGGCCCCAAGGGCTTGGGTGTGTTTTGGAGGTTTTGACTTAGGAAAATATTGCAGGTTTTCAGCTGTTGGGTTTCTGATGCCTCCTTCTTCGCGTTTGCGGGAGTACCCATGTGAATGCGATGTGTAAATTTTGAGGAAGGGAATTCCTTCTACACGAACACGTAGCTCAGGTCGCGAACGCGAGGCAGTGGGGAGCTAAACCTTCACGAACGCGATCCTGGCCATGTGAACGCGAAGGCCAATGGGGGCTAGGCAGGGGAGGGGCAATTACCCTGCGTGAACGCGGCCCTTTAGACGCGAACGCAGGGCTCGAGGGGTTCCATTTCCGCGAACGCGAGCCCGTTTACGCGAACGCGAAGGTTTATCCAGCCTGACACATCGCGAATGCGAAGGGCATTTTTGCCCAGTGATTTTTAAAATACCAAAAATAGAACACTTTCGGGATTTTATAAAAATTTCACAAACCACTTCTTCTCCAAAGCTCTTAGATGATTTTTGAAGCATTTCTTCACTATAATCTCTTGGGTAAGTAATCTTTAACTCGTTTTTTTTTTCTTTTTTTATCAACACCCACTAGATTTCTAGGCCTAAAACATGAGATTAAGGGTAGAAAATTAGGGATTTTGATTAATTTGCAATTTAGACCTTGTTTTGGGTCAAATTTGAAAATAAATTATATATTCGGGCTCATGGGTGAATGGGCAATCGGATTGTTTGTTCGAACCTCGTGTTTTGACCAAGCGGACTCGGGGATTTTTGGATTTTTGAGAAGAATGGTTAAAAAGCTATAATTTGGCATTGGAATTGAATTGTGTAGCGTTTATTGATGTTATGAAGTCGATTATGTATAGATACGATTGATTTGGAGCAAAATTCGAAAGGAAATGCGGCGTTTGAGGCTTGAGTTGGTCGTGGAAGTTTGAGGTAAGTGTCTGGTCTAACATCAGCTTGAGAGATTAGGAGTTGAGTCCTATTTTCTATTTGCTTCTTGTTGAGTACGACGTATAGGCATGGTGACAAGTAACTATACATTGGAGTCGAGTATGACTGTGAGTCCTAAATTGATACTTATTGTATTCTAATGATACTATGAATGATTTAGTGGGTGAATTCTTGATAATGAGTAAATACTTAGTTTATTTTCGTGGAAGTTGCTTATGATTGAGAAAGGGTGATAACTGAGATGAGTAGGAGTTGAGTTAAGATTGGTTATAGCTGATTTTCCCTTGCCGGGACGTATATACTTGTACTATTGAATTCACTTGTCGGGATAGTGCAATTTATTGTTGATCCCTTGCTGGGAATATTAATATGATCACCGTTGACTATATATTGGAATGGGCTGCACGCCGCAATAGTTATATACATATGGATTGAGTTGCACGCCGCAACAGATATTATATTGGATCGGGTTGCACGCTGCAAAAGTTATATATAAATGGATCGGGTTGCACGCCGCAACTGATATTATATTGGATCGGGTTGCACGTCGCAATATTTATATATGTGTGAATCGGGTTGCACGCCGCAACAGTTATATATGCATGGATCGAGTTACACGCCGCAACAGTATTCTTATTGTATTGTTGTAGATATTGAATTGTCCTTTCATATTGTATTAAGTTTCTGTTGGATTTGATATGTTTCCATGAAGCATGTACTCACTCCTATTTAAACTGCTTATTCTTGTTTACTTTCCGCCATATATTATATAACTGCATTGATTTATCTAGAGTCTGGTCCTACCCTCGTCACTACCTAGCCGGGGTAAGGCCAGACACATACCAACACATGGGGTCGGTTGTGCTGATACTACACTCTGCACTCTGTGCAGATATCGGAGCAGTACTTGGTCAGCAGCAGTAGGGGAGACAACCTTCAGTCCATCGAGATTCCGAGATAATCCTGCAAGCGTCTGCAGGCCCCAGTGTCTCCTCTATCTTTTATTATGTTCTGTTATCATTTGTATTCAAGAAATACAGTATTTTTTTCTTTCAAACATTTGTATGTAGTAATAATAGTTAGCATGTGGATGTTGTGACACCGGTTTCTGGGTAGAGGCACATGTTGTTTTTCGTATTATTTTGGTTTATTTCGTCCAAGTCTTCCATTTAATCTCATATTCCGTTGTTATTTAAATTCTTATCACTTGTTAATATAAGTTGTAAGAAGGATTAAAACAAAGAGTTAAACATTCCTAATTTCGTGGCTTGCCTAGCTTCTACGATTAAGTGCCATCATGACTCCTGAGGGTGGAAAATCCGGGTCGTGACACACATATTCATCAACATCCATATGGTGAATCTCTCTTTTAAAGACAAAATTATACCACTATGGTTATGGTCAAAATTATATGTAAGATCTGTTTCGTGCATTATTGTTGTCTTTTAATAATCACAATGCCAAAATATTTTAGCGTACAATAAGTACATAACTAATGACCAATTATGCCATAATAATGATATTATTTTCTTATTTCCTCTCAAACCTCTTTCTAGAGGTGAGTGTGATATATAACACTAGCATGCTCATATTCTTTCAAAAATAAATATGTATTCATAAATTACATATTGTCACATTCATATCATGAATGGACCGTAATTATGGTTATGTGCTTTACAAAATCTCATGTCAAATTGATGACAAACATTACTTTTACAAAGTGAAGGATTATTTGAGAATCGCTATTGTTCTCATTACCACAATGATGACAATTATAATTTCGTCTATTACCACGTCCACATTCATTGATACCTTCACGATAATAATTTTGTCTTCTTTCAGATTTATCACATATTGCTTCGAAATTCTCTTAAGGAAATGAAAATGAAGAAATTCGATAGGACGAGTTTTCACTTCTTGTGCTCACGAGCATACATGACTTTGATCATGGCAAGACATAAAAATTTTACTACTTCGAGTGGTTATAATTTCTTACTAACTCCGTTAGAGTTATAATCAAAATTTATTTTCTTTGCTTGTATTTAAAATCAAATAATAGAATAAAGAGAAAAATACGATAAATACATACCTTAAATCCAGAATTTAATCATGAAGGAGTTCATGGAACAATTGACAATCATTATGTTCAATCCCAAATCTTTTACTCAATTTGTTAGAGTCTTGTGCTGATAACGTGTTATAAAATAATAAAAAAGAAGAAGAGCATTGCAGATAAAAGTAGAGAGAAAATTCTTATTGATTTTGGAGTGAATTACAAAAGAATAGAATCTCTCTATTATAGGAAATAAGTGACTTAGCCACCAAGTAACAAAATCTTACATCTCTAAAACATAACATTCAACGTACACTACAAAAAGGGGGGTAAATTGCGGAGGTTTATTTGTGGAGGGTATAAGTAACCTCCGCAATTTGCCTAATTTTGCGGCAATACATTAGTCCCCACAAAATTATACAATTTACGGGGGTCAAAAACATCCGCAACCCTAAAAATAATAGCGGGTCATTTTTATTTCACACTCCCTCCAATTTTCCCCCTAGAAACTTCTGCCTCACAGCTTAATTGGCCAAATATGCCAAAAATTATATTTTCCCCCCAACAAAATACTCCTTTCCTTCTTCTTAATCAAAGTTCCAAAGACTATCTTCAATTAAGGAAAAGTTGAAGCTTCTCGTCTCAAATCTCTGTAGAATGTTGAAATGAATTTATCAGCTTTGTCATCCACATGACTATTACTCTCTCCATCTCTAAGAGGAAAAGGCGAGCCAGTTACCCTTAATTGCCTCACCATAGGAGTTCTCGCAAATCCAGGCAAAGTAGTTGACGTCATTTCACTCTGAATCATCTCCAACATCGCCTTCAAAACAGCAGCACTTAGTCGAATTCCTCTGCTTAATAGTTTTACACTTCCATTAATCGAAGTTCTCTACTTCTTTTTCGAAGTTCTCCACTTCAACTAAAGGTCTATTTCAATTGAAGTTCTTCGCTTCAATCGATACTGCTTTTACACCTCCCAGGTTTGATTTTTCTTTTTCTTTCCTTATTTCCCCTCATGGGTATTCTATTAATTTTGAATTTTTGTGTGTATTTCCGTCGATCTGTATGAGTAAATAGTATTTGATATTGAATTTTTGTGTGTATTAAATGGTCGATCTGTATGATTTTTTGTGTGCTTTTTCCTTGTTTTCTTTGCTTGTAAACCAAATAACTTGCTTTTGCTTGTAACGATGAGAAAGAAGGGAAAGAAACCAAATAATTTTTAAGGATGGTGATTTTATCTTTAATTTGTTGGCAAAATGATGTAGATCTTGGTTGTTTAATTATCTATTTAACTATGAGTAATAATATAATACAACAGTAGTTTTCTCTTTGCAATTCCCTAAGTTAACTTTATAGAACTATAGATTGACACGCATACTTTATGAACCACTTTTACAAGTGTTAGGTGTATATTGCAGATACATGGTTGTTAATTCTATAAAAATGCACAAATGACGCTTAAGGTAATTAATGAGATTTTTTTGTGACCCCCATCAGCTTTAAGAAAAAATAAATTTCATCGAAAGCGTAAAAAATTATATTAAATTTTACATACTCAAGGCGGCACTAGTTTTTCCTTAAAGCAGCACAACCTATGAATGGACTTTGCTTATAGAAGTTTCCAAAAGCTCAAATCAACAAATGATTCAACATTGTTGGCATCCCAAATCTTAATTTTACTATAAGTTAGTGGAGACAATAGTAAGTGCATATTAGCTGATTTAGAAAAGTTAAATTTAAGAAAATCATCCAATGGAAAAGAATAACAATTACTACTGCACCTAAATCCCAATTGGTTATGTATCCTTACTGTGAATGTTTCTCAATTTAAGATCACCTCAATCCAAATAAAAAAAGGTTTCTTTGATTTTGAGAAATCACTTTATGAAATTTGTTTTTCACTTTTAAAGAATTGCTAATAGTTAATATTATATATTCTAATAATAAAGAACTGATATTTTCTCTTTATATTCTGAAAGGTTCTTCAGCTGGACTTGAAATTTAATACTTTTCTATGGATAAATCTTGGATTAGAAAGGCAAGGAACACCACGGAATATCTATTTGGTTTAAACCAGTTTTTAGATTTTGCATTTGCTAATGTTGTTGTTAGAGATAGAATAAAGTGCCCTTGTCCTAAATGTGGATTCGTAAAGTGGCAGACTAGAGAGGTAGCGCGAGATCATTTGATTTGCAAACCATTTCCTGAAAATTATGTCACTTGGAGTATTCATGGTGAAAGAAATATACTGCCTAATTCTATAAATAATGTGGTTATACAAGATACATTACCTCCTGAAAATCCAGTAGAATTATTGATCAATGAAGCATTTGGGNCAATAAAGAATTTGGGGACCTAAGGCACGATGGGGTTGATGTAGGTCTGTCACAAGTAGCGGGTGGTGAAGAAAGGTTAAATGATGAGCCTGCTTCAAATGATAAAGACTTTTTCGAGTTGCTTAGAGATGGATGTCAAGAATTGTATGAAGGGTCCAAGTACTCAAAACTAGAATTTTTATTAAAATTATATCACGTAAAATGCTTGTCTGGGCTGAGTGACAAATGAATGACCATGATACTATATTTGTTTAGGGACACATTTACATTTGCACGAATCCCTCATTCTTTTTATGAGGCCAAGAAAACTATCAACAAGCTTTGTCTTGATTATATCAAGATAGATGCATAACCAAATGATTGTATGCTATTTTGGGGGAATTATGCTAATGAGGAAACATGTAAGTACTGTCACACTTCTAGGTGGAAGCCTAATAAGAAGATAAATGAAGATCTTGTGTCTGCTACATGTAAGAAGAAAACCAAGAAGAAACCTAAGAAGCCTGCAAAGATTTTGCGTTACTTTCCATTAAAATCAAGGTTGCAGAGATTGTTCATGTGCTCTAAAATAGCAAAATATATGATATGGCATGCTGAGGATAGTAACAAAGATGGAATTACGAGGCATCCTAGAGATGGTGAGGCATGGAAGAGGTTTGATATAACTTTTCCTGAATTTGCCTTTGATCCTCGGAATGTTCGGCTTGGCCTAGCTAGTGATGGCTTCAATCCTTTTGGCACGATGAGTACTAATTATAGCATTTGGCCAGTCATTTTAGTTCCATATAACCTTCCTCATTGGTTGTGTATGAAACAACCCTATTTTATTCTCTCAATGATCATTCTTGGTCTATGTACGGCAGGAAATAACATAGATGTTTTTCTACAATCCCTTATTAAGGAGTTGAATGAGTTGTGGAGTGAAGATGTCAAAACATTTGATTCATCAAAGAAAGAGATGTTTAGGTTGCGAGTTGCTCTTATGTGGACAATTAGTGACTTTCCTGGACTCGATAACTTATCTGGTTGGAACTCACATATTGGTTTAGCATGTCCCCACTTGTAATTTTGATGCAGAACCTTGTCAGCTTCGCCATAGTAAAAAGTGGTGCTATATTGGTCATCGTAGATTTTTAGCAAGGAATCATAAATTTAGACTGATGAGGCATCGGTTTGATGGAAATATGGAAGAAAGAAACCCACCGAGAAAGTTATCCGGATCTGATATTTTGCAACAAGTAAAAGATATTAATATTATATTTGGAAAACCGGCTGAGTTGAGTGAGAGAAGAAAAAGATCTAGACAAAGATATATTGGGCAAGGCGCACCACAACAATGGAGGAAAAAAAGAATATTCTTTAATCTTCTATATTGGGAGTTCAACTCATTGCGCCACAATTTAGACGTCATGCACATTGAAAAGAATGTGTTTGACAATATTATATATTGTTTGCTCAATGATAAAGACAAGTCAAAAGATAATATTAAGGCGTAAAAAGATCTGCAAGATATGGGTATAAGGCATGATCTTTGGCCTGATGAGAATGATGAGTGTCAGCTTGTTGTGTGTACCATTCCAAAGGAAAAGAAAGTGGCTTTCCTCATAACTTTAAAGAATATTTCAGTGCCAGATGGATACTCGAGTAATATTTCAGGTTGCATTGATCTGGACCAAAGGAGAATCTTTGGATTAAAGAGTCACGATTGTCACATTATTATGGAGCAATTGCTACCAATAGCAACTCGCAATATGCTGCCAAAGAAGGTTGTTGTAGTCTTAGTAGAGCTTTCTTCTTTTTTCAGAGAACTTTGTCTTAAAAGTTTGAGTTTGGCGGATCTAGAAAAGTTAAAAGATCGCATTGTTCTCATACTTTGCCACTTGGAGATATTATTCCCACCATCGTTCTTTTGTAATGGTCCATTTAACTGTCCATCTAGTAGATGAAGCAATACAAGGTGGTCCGGTACATTACAGGTGGATGTATTTTGTTGAAAGGTAAAATATTTCTTATTCGGAATTTTGATGTATGTAATATTAATTCAAGTTAAGTGCTTATTCTAAACATGTTTCATTTTATGTTATAGATTTTTAGGTCATTTTAAGTCCCTCGTAGGCAATAAGGCTCAACCAGAAGGTTCCATAGCTGAAGGTTACATTGTTGAAGAAGCTCTAACTTTTTGTTCTCGTTACTTTGAGGGGATTGAGTCAAGGTTTAATAGGCCTAGACGTGTGAATGATGAACCAAATCTTAATGAGGCTTCTAAAATGTCCTATATCTTCCCTCCGCAAGGTAAACCAGTTGGAGGCTCCTCAATGTTCTACTTGACTCTATTAGTGAAGACGCAAGTTCATCGATATGTGTTATTTAATTGTACGGCAGTGAATCCATTTATTGAGTAAGTAAATAAAATTGATATGAATATTGGCAAAAGTTTAGAGTTAAAATAATTAAAATTGATATAGTTAGCTCATTTGAACTGAGTTTAGGGATCACATAAGAAAGAGCACAAGAGAACGGAGACCTTCAGCATCAGATTTGGATAGGAGGGTTAATAGAGAGTTTCCTGATTGGTTCCCAAAATGGGTGAGTGAATGGTATAATAATTTTTTCTTGACATAGCTTTTCTCGTTGGATTTAATATGCTTGACTAAAATAAGTTTATTATTATTAGATTATGAACCCAGAAATTACATACACCATCTATACTGATCTGAAGTACCTAGCACGAGGTCCAGCACCAGATGCTAGAAGGTGCACTGATTATAACATCAATGGATTCGAATTTCGAGTTTTGTCTAGAGATAAAGGATTAAAAACTCAAAATAGTGGAGTTTTTCTTACTTCTACCACTTTTTGTGTTGTATCTAGTGCTGATAGAAGTGCAAGGCAAGCAGACTTTCCATACTATGGGAAGTTAGAAGATATTATTGAGCTTAATTATTATCGATTCACAGTTGTGCTCTTTAAATACCAGTGGGCCGACACTACTCAGGATAGAGGGTTCAAAAGAGATGCTTGGAATTTTAATTGTGTCAATTTTTCTAGATTGATTCATATTGGTGGTCGTGAGGATGATGATCCTTACATTGAAGCATCTCAAGCAAATATGGTTTATTATGTTGATGATGAAACAGATAAAGAATGGAGTGTGGCTGTACATTTAAAGCCGAGAGATTTATTTGATATGGGAGAGGTCGATGAAAATGAAATATATGAGAATCAACCATACCAGCAACAAGAACTTGAACAATTTTTTGATGATGCTTATGAGAATATCCAAATTGCAATAGATGAGCATATGTCTGAATAGGCATGTAAATTTTCTTGTATCCTTGTATGTTTATTTTTTTCTTCTATAGATATGTACTTTATTTTGTATTTTGCATTTATTTATTTTCTATTACTTATTATTTTTTTTGTTGATTGCAGATATGCCGAAGACCAAACAGTTCTAGAACTTACAAAAGTCAGTTCAATCAGCATCTTCTTCACAATCTACTGATGCGACACCAGATATGACATCATTATTGGTTCCTTCATTCCCGACTACATCACATCCAACTCCTTCATTTCAAGCAACATCACTACCGTCTCCTTCATTTCAAGCCACAAGACAGCAAACCACTTCATTTCAGGCCACAACACAGCCAAGACAAGAAGCTCTTTCATTTCAATCCATGGGGCAGACAACTCCTTGCATTCAGCTGACTCCTTATTTTCATGTGACATCACTACCAACTCCTTCATTTCAACTCACAAGACAGCAAATCGCTTTATTTCAGGCCAGAACACTGCCAACTCCTTCATTTCAGGCCATGGGACAAACAATTCATTCATTTCAGGCTGTAGGACAGACTACTCCTTCATTTCAACCTCCAATTAATCCCACACCAGCACAAGCAACATCCAATAAGCGTGCTAAACGTGAGTCTTCACATCATTGGACTATCGATGGAATAGGTAATCACTATCCTTTCGTTGCTGTATAGGACTTTAGAGTCTAATCGTGGGAGTTTGTCTAATTGTAGCTCTTGGAATATCTGTTGAATTATTATGGATATTTCTGGTGATTTCTACTTCTATTAAATAACAAGAGTTCGTTTTCCCATGGGGTGTGAGTGGATCTATTTGCACTTGTCAAATGCATCTTCTATAGGACTGTTGTACATCTGTTGCTGCTTCACCTATCTGCTCCTATGTGTGGTTGATACTATTTGCTAGATTCACGCAAGGACTAGGTTACTTCTTGTATCTTGTATGTTTCATATCTTGTATGTTTCCTATCCGGCAATCTTTCTAAATGATCTGGATAATATGGAGTTCTTCTAGGTCTTCAATCAAGTTGTTTATATTTGAACTTGAAGATGCTGGCTTCATCTCCTTATATTCTTGAATGGTTAACCTGTTGGTTTTGCTAAAGAAGTGTTAAGTTTTGCTAATTCAATTGTCTCAGCATGTTGTAATTGTCGTGCTTCTCTTGAATCTGTTTTTACAAAAAACAATTTGACTACTCCTGAAACCTCTCTATACCATATCAAAAAGACCTCTCTATACTATATCTTTTACCTTCACTTTTTTGCTTTTATTTTTATTTATTAAAGATTCACATGGAAATACCAAAAGGCTCAAATTGAAGACTAGAGAAACATTAAATTTACCTCAAGTAGAACGTGTTGTGGTGGAGTTTGATTGCTTGGATCTGATTGGCGAAGCACAAGGCCTTCTTGCAGGCGTCTGTGGCCTTTTAGCAACTGACTGTACCATATTTCCAATTGGCTTTGATAAATGACCGGATATGCCTAAGTCATACTTTAACGACTGCTTTAATAGCATTATAAAGGTATAAGTTCTATATCTTTATCACTATATCTCTATTTTGTCTTCTGTTTTTATATTTGTATATAAAAGATAAACTAACCTAAATTTATTTTTGAAGTCTCATTTCTATTTTATGACCATTGAGGAAGTTGTACGAGGATATGTTTATCGCTCTATTTCAAAGAAGTGTGCTTCAAGTAGGCAGAATTTGTAGGATGAGTTTAAAGACCCACTTAAATCCAAAGATGAGATTATGGATAATGTTCCGGTAGGTATTACTCGGGATCAATGGACTTCCTTTGTGAACTACCATTATAAAGAAGAAACTCAAATATTTTTCTGAAACTTCACATTGAAATGCATATAAATATGATTATTCATTTATATAATTGACTGAAATGTATCTTATTGTTAGAATATATGTAAAAGAAATGCTGAAAATTGGAAGAAACAAACAGTTCCACACACTGGTGGCTCCAAACCTAATTCTAGAAGAATGGCTAAAATGATGAAAGATGTCACATTATTTACCTTACTTTACTATTTAAATTTTAGATATTGTATCTATTTCTTTTACTTTAATTAAACTATTCTGACTTATTTTTTATTTCATACATAGACGGCTGAGACGGGAAATAAGCCTGGACGAGCACAACTTTATCTTGCTACACATAAGAAAAAAGATGGATCATATGTAAATGAGGAGGCAAAAGAAATATATGTAAGTTACAATATAAAGCAAGTTGTAAGAAACAGTTGAAGGCTTCAACTATTGCTTTCAAGGTTGTTTCAACTATATAATGTTGGCTCAGATTTTTTTGATAGGTATTGTGTTTAGGAAAAAATTAAACTAGAATGAGTGAAAGTACGGTGGATGTGTCTGAAATTTTTCCAAATGATGTTGTTGGTAAGGTGCTAGGCAAAGAGCATCCCGGAAGGGTGAGATATTTGGGATTAGAATCTACTCCAAGCAATACTTTCAAAGAGACAAATCTTCGTCTTGGTAATATTAGAATATCGAGTAATAATGTTGGATGTTCTTCTTCTGGATGCCAAGAGAGGTACAATCAATTGATGAATACTCTCAAAGCATACATGATAATGAAGGAAGGGTCAATACCAGAACAATTTTCTGGGAACTTTGCTTCTCCTCCTACAACGGTAAATGCTATTATCAATTGTTGTTTGTATGTTGAGTTTATTACAATTCATTAGCTCTTGTTGATTGCTTGTTATCAGTTGAGTTTATTTCAACTCATTAGCTCTCGTCCATTGCTAATTATCAGTTGATTAGATCTTGTAAAAGTGACACATATTGGACAACTTTTTTACTTCAGTTAGCTTATATGGTAACTCTTCGTGTTTGTACACACTATTCTACTATGTTTACATGAACTAGGACAAACTGTCATAGCATGGAAATTGCTCCAGAATATTATGTCAATATTAAAATTATGATGTCTGTAAACATTCATTCAAAAATGGGGGCTGTTTGTCTGAGGACGTGTTAAGACAACCAGGGACATGTGTTGCCATTAACAAGAAAGGAAACTGAAACAGACAGGGAACAAAAAACTTAGTTTTACTCTCACTCGGTAGTGGAATTAGCTACAATCTTTTAATATTGCAACAGTAGCCATTTTCCTTATGTAGTATCTTCATTGTCCATTTGCTACTGGATTTTGATCCCTTTCCTTTCTTTTGTACTGTCCTGAATATTGTCATACCATCTCCAACGTCCCATTGCTCATGTATGTGCTTGGACTGTATTTGCAGCTTCCTTTTATTGCACGTAATAGCCACTGCCGCGAATTCCTTACATACGTACTCATCTTGCCTTTTCTCCTTGCTCATTGCTGTCCATAAAACATGTAGTTGTGCTCCTGTGATCTTTGTTTTATCATGCATGCTTCTAACTGTAACCATCCACCTAGGTAAGTATAAGCTTAGTTCCAAGAAAATGAATTGAAATTGCCATGTCCAGTTAAGTGCCCAGCTTTTGCCATACTTTTTGCTTGATTTTCCTTGCTCATGCTGATTGGAAGCTAATTTGCCCGCAAAATAGTGCCAATTGAGCCCTGCAATATGATGTTTCCCTCCAACTATGTACTTTTTACCTTCGTTTGCATGTGCTGTCTCTTCTATTTTTGTTGATACCTGTGCTTGTTTTGATTGTTTTTGAGTTGCACTAATTAGCAGCATTAAGACTTTGTACCATAGGCCTTCGATGTTGCACATACATGTGTGACAAAGTCAATACTGCAGAAGCCTTGTCCTTGTATTTTTCCAGAAAATCAATCTCATGCTTGTGCATGTCTCCTTTCCTTCTTCAAGGGAATGAGCATCAAGTGCTAATACCACCCATAGAAGTCGTAATGAATGACATGGCATGAGTACAGTAACGTTCCCTGCAAAAAAGAACACATGATTAGTTAAAACCTGCATTCCCATGTTCTCTTCCTCAAGGATTTGAACATATGGAATGACTTATCTTTGATCCTCAATTCAGCTGCTTTCTCTCCTGGTGCAGACCCATTCTATCATGATGAGAAGAGAATGTCCTTGATATTATGCACCATCAAATGCCTGACTTCCTATATCCCTTAAACCATAGTGCCCACTTCTTAATCTGGGCAGTTTTACAATGGAATAAAGTCATTTCCAATCTGCACAAGTCCTTTGATGCCCAATTCTCTTAGACTTTATGGGCTTCTATGATGTGACTTCACTTCTTGAGACACTTCTTCTGTGTGATCCACTTATTCCTCTATTCTTGATGCCCAATTCTCTTAGACCTTTTGGATCGCAATGCATCATCCTTGAAGTATTTCCTGCAATCTTTATGTTCTAATAAAACATTAATATTATTTATATACTAGTTTAATGCTTAATATTTTATTTAGAGAGTAGTTTGATGCTCAATCCTGATACTCCTCTTAATAGTTGTATTTTTTTTTTACTTTTTGCTGCAGCCAAGCGATGAAGCTAGCGGTCCCATTTCACCGACGGATGCAAGAAGATCTCATGGCGCTAGTAATCCCAATGACAACCATTGAGATTCATTTTAATTGAAGTGGATGTATTATGACAATATAATAGCTGACTAATATAGACGGTTAACTATGTTCTAATTTAGCTTGATGACATATGATACTACTCTGTCATGGTATTTTTCACGATTAATGAAATGTTGATATTTTTTAATTTTAATATTTTGGTTTAAGCATAAATATTTCAATTGATATTAGGGAAGAAGTATGGCAAATGATGATAAAAAATAAATTTCATAATATATTTAAAATAGATGCGGATAAAACCCCCAAAGAGAAATTGAACAGATCCTAACATAAGAAATTGCGGGAGTTAACAACCCCAACACTCAAAAAAAAATTAAAATTTTAAAAGTAAAAATCCATTTCCGTGCATGAAATTGTGGAGGTTAAAATTAAAATTTCGAAGGTTAAAAACCTCCGCTATTTGCTGTTATGGCGGTTAGGGAAACCCCCGCATTTATCTGCCGCAAATTAATAGTGGCGATGCTTATTGCGGAGGCGTGGTTAACCGCCGTGACAGCAAATAGCGGAGGTTTCTAACCTTCGTAAAATCACAATTTGAACCTCCACAATTTACCCGTTTTTTTGTAGTGATAAATGCAATACTGTTTATAACAAAAATATTTAGTTTAAAATTTCCAAAATATTATTATCTATATAGATACGTGTTTCAAGTATTTGAAATTGAATTTTACGAACCGTTGCTGCGTTTCATGATCTCATCACAGAGCCCAAAACCCAAACGTCTTCATTCCTCTCTCCCTGTCTCTCTCTCTCAAACCCTAGACACTCCCCTATTTGCTGTTATGGCGGTTAGGGAAACCCCCGCATTTATCTGCCGCAAATTAATAGTGGCGATGCTTATTGCGGAGGCGTGGTTAACTGCCGTGACAGCAAATAGCGGAGGTTTCTAACCTTCGTAAAATCACAATTTGAACCTCCACAATTTACCCGTTTTTTTGTAGTGATAAATGCAATACCGTTTATAACAAAAATATTTAGTTTAAAATTTCCAAAATATTATTATCTATATAGATACATGTTTCAAGTATTTGAAATTGAATTTTACGAACCGTTGCTGCGTTTCATGATCTCATCACAGAGCCCAAAACCCAAACGTCTTCATTCCTCTCTCCCTGTCTCTCTCTCTCAAACCCTAGACACTGAAGACCACTGAATTATCTGATTTTGGCCAAATTTAGGTTCGATTTTCACTCCGAGTTTTTAATTTTTTTTCGTTTTGAAATTATCGCCTTACTTGTCTTGTGTTCTAGGTTTTTCGATTTTAGCCAACAATAGCATATCCCTTGTGATCTGTAAATGTATACTGTCAGTAGAAAATATAAAGGACTTGTAGAACTTCTATTTTTGTTCCTTATAGTATAGGGCTGAGATTTAGTTTAAATGGAGTAACATAGGCCTGAGATATAGCCGATTCCAACTTGATTGGGACTGAGGCATAGTAGTAGTAGTAGTTGTTGTTGTTGTTATTGTTGTTATTGTTGTTTTTGTTGTCATGTTTACTGAAACTTTTTTTTTATTAAGTATGAGTAGAAAGCCTGTTTAAGGGTTGCTGTAGGTTTTCAGTCTAAAAATAGTCAACTGTGTTGAAACCTCAGAATAGGGACGAATAGAGTGGAACAGATACACTGGATTTACATAGCCAACACACTAGTTTGGGATTGAGGGAGTTGATATTAAGTTGTGCTTTCTGCTAAAATGTTGCCAGATTGCTGAGTGTTTGTTTAAACATTTCAATTTTAAGTGATGATTCTTTGTGTAAGACTCATATTTGGAACTTGGCTGAGCTATAATTAAGTTAGATAACTATTTAAACTCAAAGTTCTAAACAAAAGCTATTTGATTCAGTTGCACCGTGCTCAGTATTAAGCCTGAGTGCTTGATTATGGTTGGCAGAAGGAGTTTGAACTGTGAAGGGTTCTAGTGACACTCTCACGGTGCGATCAACTTCGATCTTTGCGCTTCACTTTCCATCAATTGCAGCTCAAGAATGTAACTTCCAATTTGCTAAGATTCTTGAAATACTAGCTCTTGTTGTCCCTTGGGTTTTGAGATAACAGATTATGATAAAAATGAACCCTAGCATAACTTTCAAATTTATCTGTCTTTCCCTGTTCTAGTTATATAATTTCACTTAACATCTTCTTAGGAACAGGTTAAAGTTACATAAGGATTACTAATGAGTGGACCTTGATCCTCATTCGAGGACGAATCATATAAGGCCCCGGAAAATATTTTCAAGTAATTTGAGATTTCGTCGTGCCAAGGTAGACTAATCATTTCATTTTTGTGTGCAAATAAGGATTCCTAATATAGGTATCAATTGGATATGTTAATAAGAACATAGTTCATATTAGAAGTGGTTTGGAGTCTAAGGAGAGGCCTAAGTCTAAGCCAAGTTGGAAAATTTTATATTAGACGAAAGTTGTAAATGAGTGCGCATAAGACCTAACTTTGAACGATCCTATGTCAAGTTATATAAGGAGTTGTGTCTAGTTTTTCTGTAGTTACCAACGCAACAAACCGTTCGTCATTTGGAGGTGTATACAGAAAGTTACTACAATTTTTCTTGGCAGGTGTCACTGGCGCGAACTTTGCGCGATGTCCCGAGTTCGCGCATTTTTTGCTGAGTATTCTGCCCCCGACGTGCGAAGAACGCGTGAACTCACGTGCCTGGAAGAGTTTTAAATACCCTAATAACCGGAAATAAGAGAAATTGATTCATTTCTCAAGCTTAGGGCTTCCTCTATACCACAACTCGACCATGGCATCCAATTGCACTCCTAAGGATTTCTTAAAAATCTCAAGAACACCCCAAAGTTGTCTTTTAAGATTTGGTCTACAAGAGTTAATCCTACACCTTAGTCTTACATATATGGGTTGATTATGGAAATATGAGTTTGCATTAAGTATTGTAACCCTTGGGATGGGGATTGAAAGCCAGAGGTGTCTAACCAAGTTGTGTTGGTGTTGTAGAGATGGGAGATGGGTTATTGAAGTATGATTCTTGGGTATAATAATATTATGTATACATGCATGTACAAATTAGGTTTTTGGGAAGATTGATGAATGTTCATAAATAAAGATGGGGTTTTGGAAATGAAGGAAGTCTTGTAAAAGAGATTAAAAATCAAGATGCTCAACTAGTGTTTGATAAAATTCTCAAATGAGCTGAAATAATGAATACCTTCCTAATTTGTGTTTAATTTTTCTATGTTTCAAGCAGATTAGGATTTCTAGAATTTCCAAAATGACGTAGTAACCTATGGAAAGCTTAAACGAGGTATGTATGGCTAAAACCCCCTTTTATTAGAAATTGAGCTCTGATGTCATCTATAAAAGTATGGAAAGAGTTGAATTGGTTAGTGTATTGTTTGTTATTACGCATTAATTGATTTGCAATTATCTATACATATTCGTAAAGGATTTGCCTCGATGTGAATAATGTATCATTCTTGATAATTAGAGAAGGATGAAAAGTACAGATCAAATAAAGTATGTAACAATTATGGCATGGAATAAGATAAATTGTGAAATAACGAGAAACATGAAAAACAAACATCTTAACGGCGTATATACACTCGTCACCTTGCATACTGTATTTTCTCACATAATCCACATAACAAATAATTCAAAATTTCTAATTCCCTCAAGTCAAGGTTAGATCTAATACTTACCTTACTCGGCAATCAAATCAAAGCTCTGTTGGAAACACGTTCTCAATGCAATATACTAAACGTGTACTCTTTTGTAGGTTTTGATGAATGACAAACGAAGCAAAAAGTGATATATGACGAAGTTCAAGTACAAGCGCAAAATTGGTGCATATCAAGAATCAAGCTCAAGACAAAGTTTAATTGTTATAATTGAGTCGGTCTTAAATGTGATCTTGATCCTACAACTTGACTCATAACATGGCTTCTCTCATAAAACTATTTTCCAAAACTATGCATATTTAATTAAGTGTCAAATGAATTTAAATCATGCATATTTACATTAGTTAAAATGTTTTCTAAACATGCCTCAAAAATCTGGGCTAAAATGATCGATTATGTACTTATGATAATCGATTGTTTCTAAGCCAAGACTGCATGACAATCGATTGTGAATCAATGACAATCGATTATGAGTAAGACAGTTAACATCAGGTTTTTGCAAAACTGCATGACAATCGATTGTGTACTAATGACAATCGATTGTAGCTGAGGTAAAGTTTTTCAAAACTCACAATAATCGATTATGAACTAATGGTAATCGATTAGAATGAGAAAATGTCTCCCAGTGATTTTTAAAGTTAATTAATAATCAATTGTACATGTTGATAATCGATTATCACCGAGACAGTGAGTTTAAGGATTTTCAGAAATTAATTAATAATCGATTGTTCCTTCTGACAATCGATTGTTGAAGCTGACCGTTGTCGTAAATTTTCAATTACCGTCAGGTAATCGATTATGGATATTATATAATCGATGTTTTGCTTAAAATCTGGAAAAGATTTTTTGAACGTTGCTAAAGTAATCGATTGTTGATTTCATGACAATCGATGTTTTGTGCTAAAATTTGGAAATGATTTTTGAACGTTACAAGTAATCGATTATTGATTTGAAGTAATCGATTGTTGATCGTAAAATCTGGGATTGAATTTTAATCTGACAGGCAAACAATCGATTGTTAGGTATTGACAATCGATTGTCACTGAGTAATTTCAGCAATTCTTAATTGGCAATTAGACAACGGTAAGAACAAGTTTTGCACCTATAAATACAGCTTCAACTCAGTGTTTTAAACACAACAACACATACAAACTGATCATTACATTGCTTAAAGCTTTCTTACATTTGTTCATCATTTTCTAATCATTTCATAAAGCTTTTTGAGAGCCATATTATTGTTCAAAGTTGTTGTGATCTTGAGCGTATTATTTCTACTCATATCTACTCATCAAGGAGTACTTTGTAAAGTGAGTGTGTTTAGTGCTTATAAGAGAATTGTGATTCTCTTGTGTTGAGGAACTTGTGCTTCCTCGGTTGAAGTCTTTGGGATTGTTATCCCCGAGCGGTTGAAGTATTTGGGATTGTTATCCCCGAGCGGTTGAAGTCTTTGGGATTGTTATCCCCGAGC